GATTCATTGTTGTTCTTTCTCGTTGCATAGTACTCCATTGTGTGTATGTACCATAGTTTGTTTATCCATTCATCTGTTGATGGGCACCTGCGTTGTTTCCATCGTTTTGCTTTTGTGAACAATGCTGCCATGAACATAGGTGTGCATGTGTCTATTCGAGTGACCACTCTTATTTCTCTAAGATATATTCCTAGGAGTGAGATTGCTGGATCGAATGGTATGTCTATTTCTAGCTTTCTGAGAAGCGCCATATCATTTTCCAAAATGGTTGTATCATTTTGCATTCCCACGAGCAGTGCATAAGTGTTCCCATCTCCCTGCAGCCCCTCCAACATTTGTTATTTCCAGTGTTTTTGATTCAGATAGCACAATTAATTTTAATAGTCGTTTTTGAGGAAGAAAGAAAGTACTCATGATGATCATCCAGTTTGCTTCTTGTCATGAACCCTGGTTTGAATTAAGCATTTAGAAGCTCATTTTTCCATTAAAAATGTGAATTTTTTCACTGCAGACGTTTGGAACAGAACTCAATCAAGGTCGTCCCTCCTGGAGCTTTCTCACCATATAAAAAGCTCAGAAGAATGTGAGTGAACAATATTCTGAAATATATGTAATTTTAAAAAAGTATACATGTCATGGTTATACAAAGAAACCCATCTCAATATGACTCTTTAAGTGTTTGACAGCTGAAGTATTAAGTGATGTGACTATCTGCTAGTTCTATAATAACTTTTAATGTTAATGGCTAAACTATATAATTTCTTTTTAGTTCTCTTTGTTGTTTAACCTATTGATTTTTATTACTGTGAGTGTATATAGTTGATATATTATGTAGTTAAATTCTAAGATGTTTTATTCAAAAATCAGAAGTGGCATCTTTAATAATATTCTAGGGGAATAGTTAATAATTGATTAAAAATTGATTTTTTTAAAATATGAGAGTTTTAATGTTGCAAATAGGTGCAAACAAACACGTGAAAGCAATGTGTGGCTTTCTCCTGGAGTAAATCTTACTGACATTCTAATTTAACCTAACCCTATTTCTAATCTCAGCGACCTGAGCAATAATCAGATCTCCGAACTAGCACCAGATGCTTTCCAAGGACTACGCTCACTGAATTCACTGTAAGTATTGACCATGTCCCTGAAGGAAAGCAACATGTCACAACAAATACTTAGCTGGGTTTAAGAAAAATACTCCCCTCCATTTTATTATGAATTATGAATGCTATTAATTATTAACCACTTCCATTGTTTTTATGGAGGAGTACAACCTGTCGCAAAATCAAACTTTTAAGTATATAAATTTTATGATTTGATCATTTTGTTGTATAGATAGCAACAGTGAGAGTTCCTTTTCTGTCAGTTTTTTTTCCTTCTGAAACAAATGAAAAATGTTTATTTTGGAGTACTCTGGTCAATTTATTTTTAAGCTTCAAGCTTCTAGCCAGTGTCTCTAGGAACATCAGTCCCTCTCAGAGTGATGCTTGGTGATGTCTTGCTGAGAACACTTGAGGAAGATGACCAGTGAAAGGACCCCTCTTCTCTTAACGCTTCTATGACAGAACTAGCTTTACTTTCTCGAAGAACAAAGATAAGAAAGTATGATAGCTTTTTCCTGTCAAAAGGACTTTCAGGAGATAGCTATGTAAATTGTAGAGTTTCTAAAATAAACTTATAAAGTCTGTTATTCCTTCAGACTTGTAAACATCTTCAGAAGTCCACTGAGTAAAGTAAACCAAAATTTAATTTTCAGTTTTAAGACAGAGGCAGGCAGGTTTTTTTAAGAGCTGAGTCTTAGAGAAGGGTTCTGATGGATGTAAAGTTGTGTAGAGATTTTTGAAATTCTGAAGTCAATAATAGCAAGTGAGAATACCTGGATATAAATGTGCAAGACCCAGATAAACACCTGGAGTTTATAGAACAATTTACTCTCTTCCTTCCCAAGGGGGAAAACGAGGCAGAGGGACTCATCGAGGGTACAGTAAATAAAGATTTTTAAAAATTTATCATTTATCACAATATATTGTGTTACTATTTATTAATGAATATTTTTCTATCCCTGGTGGCACAGTAGTTAAGAGCTCAGCTTCTAACCAAAAGGTGAGCGGTTTGAATCTACCAGCTGCTCCTTGGAAACCCTATGGGGCAGTTCTTCTCTGTCCTGTAGGGTCACTGTGAGTCGGAAATGACTCAATGGCAACGGGTTTTTTATATTATAATTAATGATTATAAATTATTATCCAAATATAATAAAATAGGAAATAATAAAAGAAGTAATAAGTGTAAATGAACATGGTTGGAATATAAATCTTTGTGAGCAGCACACTCATGCTCACAGTTCTTTTGGAGAGTTGTACAAAAACATTGTAGTTTCTTGTGGAGCTGCATTTTAGTCAGAAAGTTAAGTCCCTGGGGTATTTCCAGTTCAAAATGCAGTAGAACATGAACGAGTGGGAACCATTTTTCAGAAGTAGAATACTTGCATTAGTTCTATGATGTTATAAAACAGACTAGGTGATAGTGGCAGGGTTTGTGTGAGTTTTAGGAGTATTTATACTACTTTAGAAAAAGCCCACACATTATTGTTATTATTATTTTCCTGATTGTGTTGACATTTTGAGTCAGCTTTTTATATGTGCATAAAATATGTAACTACCCAGATTCCAATAGGCTTTCTCTTCACTTAACCACAACATATATTCAACAGAAATGTCTTGGGCTCTTACTGTGTACTAGGCTCTATTCAAGGCACTGGGGATACACAAGGGAACAAAACAGACAAGAACCCTCCTTAAGGGTAACCACTGGTAAACTAGGAAAATGAGCATAAGATGTAGTCTCTCTGATGATGAGCAGTGCTGTGGAGAAAAATAAAGGGAGAAGGGATAGGAAATGCCAGGGTCAGGTGCAGTTTTAAATAGGATGATCATCAAAGGCCTCCCCCAGAAGGTGATATTGCACAAAGACCTGAAGAATGAGCTGTGCGGACATGTGCAGATATCTGCAGAATAGAATTTAAGACAGAGGGAATAGCTAAATACTAAGGCCCTGAGGCAGGCGTATGCTGGGTGTTTCAAGAAAGAGTAAGAGAGACCACTGTGACTGGAGGGGAGCCGATAGTTGAAATTGAAATAATGAAGAGGTTGCAGTTGTTGACAAAGGCAAGATCTAGGATACAACCTTGAGAATAAAGGCATGAAATAAGGTGGAAAGATAAGTTCATGGAAAAAGAGTACTGTTGGAGAACTTGATAGGGAGCCAGGGATGAAAATATTCTAGAAATGAGTGGGAGTGACTTGGGAGTGTGTTGCTAACTGCAAAAGCCATGCAAGTGGGCAGTGTTCCTTCCTCTAAATCAAGTTTTATACCATTTTCTCTGAAACCTGACATTTTGATACCTGTCTTTCTAGAGCTATACTCAGGTATTTAGCCAGTTTAATGTAATCTCTAGATTTACTAAATAACCCATAATTTAGCAATACGATGCTAAATACCTCTACTGCATTTTACATTAAAAAAAAATTCTACTTTAAATTGTTATTTTATTACCATAGAGAAAACTGGACTTAATTTGCTAAATATTTATAAGCTCTCTCCTGTTAAGGGATTGCATTATCATTAACAAACTATCATTGAAAACACTTAGATCTGATGAATCATTTTATCCTCAGGGATTTCATTGACTATATTCTCACTATGACATCAATAAGAATTTCTATAATATTTAATAATAATTAAGAATTCAGCATACTCAGTAGATTTACCATTTCCTGTAAAATGTTTTCCATTTACTAGTTGGAAGCGTCCCTTTATATTAGCAAAATAAAAAGTATCATAGCAGTATAGCATAGTGGCTAAACATACACTGTAGCCTTTGGGACACTAAATGACGCATGTTCAAGTCCTGGCTCTACCGTTTACTAGGTGCATGAGTGAGCTTGTTATTAATTTCCCTGTGCCTCAGTTATCTCTTCTCTAAAATGGAGATAAAATTACCTCCTACTGGCATTGTTAAAGCGCAGTGGAAATACTCAAGAGATAATAAGTATCACATGATACATCCTTCTGATATTTATCAATTTATAAATTTCTGGATTTTAATTATCCCTGAGAATTCTTATGCTCGAGATCCTCAGCATGGTTTTCCTCTTTTTATCGTAAACCCTTTGCAAACTATTGTAGTTTACTTACTCTAATCTCCTCTCTTAGCTAACTATCTTCAAAATTCCACAGGTGTGATACAATAAAAAAGGGTGATAAAGTGAAAGAGTGGATTGCTTTATTCACATTTCCTATAGTCTTTTCTTGAACAGGTGTAAGTCTCCTTTCCAGTACTTTGCATTTTACCAGAAATTTCTAATGAAAATATAGCGTCTCTGTTTTCTCCTTACTGTGCTCTGAAATATTGTTTAGTACTATATATAATTCAAAAATTTTTTTAATTTGTAAGAATAGCTTTCTTGACATTTTTTGAATAATAGAGTCTTCTCATAGCATCCTTTTCACCATGGGATACGTTTCTATTTTGGATATTTTTTTTTTCCCTCTCTCTTCATTAGAAGTTCTATCTTCTGTCTGCTTTTCAACAGGGCAAGAAAATTCGAAGCCTTGCCACCTACTTTGCCTGTCCCCTACTTTGCTAATGTTGAAACTCACAGGGGTTAAACTGGGTTTTGCATTCTAAACTTCTTTTCTAGTAGATGGTACATGAGCTACCTTCTAAGATTTCCCTGTTGTTCCAAAGGACTATAAAATGACTCTCTACTGATATAATTTTACACTTTATAAAGTATGCTGAATGTAAGTTATATATAAGAAAACTATACAGAAGCTACCCAATGTATCATTTTTGGTAATTGGATGATATTACCCAAACCCCTCGTGTAGTTTCTTTTTAGCTGGATTCATTTTTATCTTTCAATTTCTTTTTAAATTTTCATTCCCTCTTAGGAGTATAGCATAAATTCTCACTTGCCTGCTTGCACTTGATGTCTTTATATGATGATATGTCTTTCCTCTCATTTTTATAGATTTTGATCCTCTTTTCTTTACTATCATCCAACTTGTCTTTTCTTGCCTTTGAATTTTTTATGTCTTAATTGCTTTACCTTGCTACCATTTTGACCTCATTGTTGTGTGAACAAACTCTACCCAGCCTTGTTGTAGTGAGGCAACGTCTAGTCAGTGCTGACTCATAGTGACTCTGTGTACAACAGAACGAAACACTACCCGTTCCTGCGCCATCCACAATTGTTGTTATGCTTGAGCGCATTGTTGCAGCCACTGTGTCAATCCGTCTCGCTGAGGGTTTTCCTCTTTTTCATTGACTGTCTACTTTACCAGCATGATGTACTTCTCCAGGGACTGAGTCTTCCTGATAACATGTCCAAAGTATGTGAGACAAAGCATCCTTGCTTCTAAGGAGCATTCTGGCTGTACTTCTTCCAAGACAGATTTGTTTGTTCTTTTGGCAGTTCAGGGTATATTCAGTATTCTTTGCCAGCACCATAATTCAAAGGCATCAGTAGTTCTTCTGTCTTCCTTATTTATTGCCCAGCTTTTGCGTGCATATGAGGCAATTGAAAATACCGTGGCTTGGGTCAGGTGCACCTTAGTCCTTAAAGTGACATCCTAGCCTTAGTATTGCTTTACTTTTTCCCAGAGAAATCTCATTTCCATCATATTTAGCAAGCATTTCTTATTCATAATGTTTTTATGGTTGATAGTACATGTATCAAACAAGACTTAAACATTGATTTTCTCCAACGTTTTGCATTTTCACGTTTTTTCCCTCATGCACCCATCTTGTCATATTCACAATAAACATCTAATTTTTTTTTTTTAGCATGGTCTTAAAGAATACCAGATGATTTGCTGGGGAAAAGAAAAATAGTTTCACTATATAAATGACACTCCTCCAAGCTAGTCTGCCTGCCACACTGTTGGAGTAAAACTTTGAAGCAGAAGTCCCAAAGAAATAATTTACTAAATTATTCATCCCTTGATTCTTATCTGGGTCCCCCACAGTTTGAAACCATCCCTGTATGTTTTTAAATCTCAGTGGGCTCAAAGGAAACTCCTGCAATATTCACAATTTCTCTTTTGGGTAGCTCCTCGAAGGC